GACATAAAAACGTTATTATAATATAGCACGTACGGAATACAAAAAGAAAAATAAAAATTTTTTGATTAATTAGTTAAATTTGTGGTATAAGCGAGAATATTTGTTTTCTATTATTTCATTTAATAAATTATCTGTGTTATTTTTAGATTGTTTGTATATTTCGTATTCTTCCAGTAAGTCCAGCTTCAAAGATTTAGGTTGGTTATGAATAAGTTCCATATTATTAAGACTTATTTTATGTTTAGTTTCTGTAATATGTTTGAATATAGCGGAATTTTTATCTTTATTATGTTCTTTAAAACGTGTTAATAAGTTTCTCCCTGTTTGACCTATATAAATTTTTTGAGTTAAGATTCTTAGTAAAATGTTAAAAGCTAAAAAGGATATACGAAGATACCGAAATAATTTGGATGGATACAAATTTGCAAAAAGGGCTATTACATACAAATGAATTACAGAAATATGAGAAAGTTAGATGTAGTTAATTAATAAAACAGTTATAATTTAATGCATCAAATAAACTTTATTTTTGATTTTCTCATTACTTGTTTTATTATTGACAATATATTTGTATTTAAGAAGTTACTAGAATTGTAAGAATTTTGGTAAGAAACGGAAAGTTTCATCAGAACCGGAATCTTCTTCACTTGATTTATTTGGTTTAGCTTCATCGGAGTTTCCAGAGCTTCCACTTTCTTCGCTTTTGCTTTCTTCGCTTGGAACGTCAGGTTCGGGTTCAGGTTCGGGTTCTGGTTCAGGTTCTGGTTTCTCTTCAGATTCTTGGGATATGCTTTCTTCGCTTTTGCTTTCTTCGCTTGGAACTTCAGGTTCGGGTTCTGGTTGTGGTTCAGGTTCTGGTTTCTCTTCAGATTCTTGGGAAATGCTTTCTTCGCTTTTGCTTTCTTCGCTTGGTACTTCAGGTTCGGGTTCGGGTTCTGGTTCTGGCTCTGGTTCAGGTTCTGGTTTTTCTTCAGATAATTCTTGAGAATTGCTTTCGGAGCTCTTGCTTTCTTCGCTTGGAACTTCAGGTTCGGGTTCCGGTTCTGGTTCTGGTTCTGGTTCTGGTTCAGGAATTTCTACAGATTCTTCGCTTGAACTAGAGCTTGAACCTACTTCGCTACTGTCACCGCCTCCTCCGTTGTTACCTCCTTCACATCCAGCTTGATTTGGCCAATCGCAAACGTTCAATTCTTTGTTGAAATGCAATCCATCGGGACAATCGTATTTTACTGGGTTTCCCCAATCACATTTGTAAAAAACTGTGCAGTCACTGGAATCGACGAGAAAATCGACTGTTTCCGGGTTCATTGTGGATGGGCATTTTCCAACTGGTTCTGCATGAACCAAGTTGATCGCAGCCAAAATAACCGCGCACGATAAGAGCACAACTTGAATAAAAATAATAAAAACGTTAATTGATTTTAAAAGATTTACAAAATAGAACTCACTTACCTTTCATATTTAGCTTTGTTGTTATATCTGGCGTTAAACCAAAACACCTATAATGATTTTCTTATGAAACTGTGTATTTATACAGTCGAATTATCAAAGTTAATCTAAAAAATTAAAGTAGTATTAATTTATTAGCTAATCGATTATTTGCGTTAATTGTTTAAATTTTTTTAGAAAATATTCATTAATCTTGCCTCAAGTGGCTATTTCTCCTATAAATAAACGATTATTAAGAAATGATAGTGGCTTAGATGACAATTACTGCTATTTACACACTTTACAAGTGGATGTATTGAGGAACAATAAACATTGACGTTGTTGAAACGTCAGCCAGCCCTCAACAATTTAAAAATCTTAACATTACTCAGCCTTTTTATCTGTGACTCCTTATTTTTTTTATAAATAAAGGGATATTACCACGGACATGCGAATAACGCTCGTGGTGGTACTAAGATTCAAGACCTGAATTCGTAATTGAGTTCTCATCATTAGTCATAAATTTTATTTTTGACCAATGTATACTGTCTGGCTTTATCAACAACAAATATTAATATACTTGAGGAACATCAGAAATGAAATTTTCAATGATAAGATGCCATCTAGTGAAACGAAGCTAAATATCACAACCTAGCCGCATGATGAGTGGCCATCTACTTTAGAATTCTTATTGCAAAAATTGCGAATGTCAGCATAGACCCAAGATACCTCAACTGCACTTCCCACATCAACCTGCAATCCACATGCAATCCCAGAAATTTCACACCTACAGATTCTTTTTTATATCGAGTGGTTTCCAACAGTATATGTTATCATAATTAAGTTTCAATAAGTTTTCTTTACACCATTCTTGGCAGGATAATANTGTATTTATACAGTCGAATTATCAAAGTTAATCTAAAAAATTAAAGTAGTATTAATTTATTAGCTAATCGATTATTTGCGTTAATTGTTTAAATTTTTTTAGAAAATATTCATTAATCTTGCCTCAAGTGGCTATTTCTCCTATAAATAAACGATTATTAAGAAATGATAGTGGCTTAGATGACAATTACTGCTATTTACACACTTTACAAGTGGATGTATTGAGGAACAATAAACATTGACGTTGTTGAAACGTCAGCCAGCCCTCAACAATTTAAAAATCTTAACATTACTCAGCCTTTTTATCTGTGACTCCTTATTTTTTTTATAAATAAAGGGATATTACCACGAACATGCGAATAACGCTCGTGGTGGTATTAAGATTCAAGACCTGAATTCGTAATTGAGTTCTCATCATTAATCATAAATTTTATTTTTGCCAATGTATACTGTCTGGCTTTATCAACAACAAATATTAATATACTTGAGGAACATCAGAAATGAAATTTTCAATGATAAGATGCCATCTAGTGAAACGAAGCTAAATATCACAACCTAGCCGCATGATGAGTGGCCATCTACTTTAGAATTCTTATTGCAAAAATTGCGAATGTCAGCATAGACCCAAGATACCTCAACTGCACTTCCCACATCAACCTGCAATCCACATGCAATCCCAGAAATTTCACACCTACAGATTCTTTTTTATATCGAGTGGTTTCCAACAGTATATGTTATCATAATTAAGTTTCAATAAGTTTTCTTTACACCATTCTTGGCAGGATAATATAACTAGTTCCGATTTAGCCTTAAAATTAGACTTTACACTATCTTTCAGTATTATGGAGGTATCATCTGCATGGAGATATGTTTCTGCGTCAATATTGCATGGCATATCATTAGTATATATAATAAATAGAAGAAGTCCCAGAGCAGACCCCGGAAGGACACCTTGTTTGATTTTTATGTTGAATGAACTTTTACCGCTGTACTCAACATACTGTGTCTGTCCATAAAATTAGATCTTATTAAATTTAGTTGTTGGCCTCTGATACCGTAAAACTTAAACATGCTATACAGGGCGAGTTATTAGTATCCCGGCGGACGATAGTTGCTAAACCGTTTGAGAAAGAAAAAAATGTTTTATACAAAAGTTGTTTGGCTCACCACATTTTATTACGTAAAATTATTTTCACTTATACAGGATGTTTCATTTAAACGTAACGGAGAGTATGGAGATTTTTTTAAATGGAACACCCTATACATTTTATCATATATTATTATGAATATCATCAAATTTGTTTATACAACCGTGTATGTTACTAATTCATAGCATTCATAGTTCCTGAGATATTAAATTGTTTTTCCAAAATGTGTCCATTGCAGGATCTTTTTAAAAACGTCTTTTTTTCCAGTTTTGCCTTGAAACTATGTAATAACTAAAAGTCAAAGCCAGTAGATAAATGATAGTAACCAAAGATATTAAATACGCTATACAACATGTTCATATGGCTTTTTCTTAGGTTTTTTAAATGGAACACTCTCTATATTGGGTGCTGGTTGAATTGCCCATCAAGTTACCTTTAATTAATGATAAGTATGTCATATATCTAACTTTAGTAGTTTTCTTGATATTTAGAATTTAAAGAATAATGTGTAATAAAATATGTGTTATTGTACTTAATATTATATTCTGTCTATTTTATCAGTTTTTTTGTTCTTCCTTTTATTATTTGATTAATATTTTATAATGTAAAATAATTTTGCTCCGATATACCAGATTTTAATGCAACTTGGTACTTTATGAGATTTAAAAAGATGTAAGTAATAAAATATGCAATTGTTCTGCCATATAATTTACGACTTTAGAGAAAATAAGATGCACATGTTAAGAGATACCTCACGATCTTTTATACAGCGCATTAATGCTTGTAGAAGAGAAAATGGGCGGCATTTTGAACAACTTCTAAGTATTAATTAAATTAATACCTACTTGTTGAGCAACGTTTAGTAATTGTTTATAGCACATGCATTGGCAATATACATATTTACGAACGAGGGCACAAATAACCGTATCTGTACGACCGTAAATCTGCATATGAGCAGAATGTTAAATACTCTACGGAGGCTATTAAAACCATTGATTGGAGGAGTTCTTGATTCGTTAACGCAGAGGATGCCTATAACAGCTTTCATGATAAGATTCAGCGACTGGTCGATGAATCATTTCCTACAATAAAGAAAACAAATAGAATAAATAAGTATCTACATTTTAGAACAACACCTAGACTATTAGAAATGAAACGAAAATTAGATTCTTTAGGAATGAATATATAATCAGGTCTCTTTCCCAATGATTATGATACATATAAGAGGTGTAAGGAAGAATATATAAAAGCAATAAGAGAAGAAAGGAGAAAACAAAATGCGACAACTATTGAAAAATCAGTTAATAAACAAAAAAAGATATGGGAAGTAATCGATGCACAAAGAAAGCCACGAAACGAGCAGAAAGAAATAGGATCGAAATTAAAGGTGTGCTCGTGTGTGCTCATTGCTCATGTGTGCAATATCGTCCAATGGCGATATTGCAGGTATTCTCCAAGATTTTAGAGCAAATTATGAAAGCTAGGTTAACAACATTCTTTGAAAGACAACAGATTCTCAGCGATGCACAACATATACAGGGTGATTCAAAAAACCGCTGACAGACTTCTAGAGTAGATAATACATGAAAAATTAAGCCAGAACCAGAACCTTAAAACGCCAGCGAAGAAAGTAAGAGTTCGGAAAGCAATTCCCAAGAATCATCTGAAGAAAAACCAGAACCTGAGCCTGAACCAGAACCGGAACCCGAAAGACCCAGCGAAGAAAGTAAGAGCTCTGAAAGCAGTTCTCAGGAATCATCTGAAGAAAAACCAAAACCTGAACCTGAACCCCCCAGCGAAGAAAGTAAGAGTTCTGAAAGCAGTTCTCAGGAATCATCTGAAGAAAAACCAGAACCTGAGCCGGAACCAGAACTCGAACCTGAAAGACCGAGCGCAGAAAGTAAGAGCTCTGAAAGCAGTTCTCAGGAATCATCTGAAGAAAAACCAGAACCTGAGCCGGAACCAGAACCCGAACCTGAAAGACCCAGCGAAGAAAGTAAGAGCTCTGAAAGCAGTTCTCAGGAATCATCTGAAGAAAAACCAAAACCCGAATCTGAAAAATCTAGCGAAGAAAGCAACAGTTCCGAAAGTGGAAGTTCTGGAAGTTCCGATGAATCTAAATCAAGCAAATCAAGTGAAGAAAATTCCAACTCCAGCTCTGATGAAAACTTCCGTTTCTTACCCAAATTCTTACGATTTCGTTGACTCTTTAAACACAAATTTAATGTCAATAACATAGCAAGTAAAACACAATGAAAAATAAAGCTAATTTGACTCGTTAATTCGTATAACTATTTTATTTATTAACCACAATCCAATATTTATTAAAGTCAGAACAGTTGGCTTTTATTTTGCAATCATGCAAAATTCTGATTACCATATCCCTGAAAATTTTCAATTGTTTTAATACTTTATTAATTTAGCTTAAATAGTTGTAAAAATATCTGATATTAGAAAACAAGCCAACGAAGCTGTGAATTGACAACGACTTTAAATTTGTAGATTAGGTTACTGACATTTCGATGATTCATGTATCTTTTGTGTTCTAAATCTTTTTGCAGTGTTTTTGTCAGTAAAAAAGACCATTATCGTTGAATAAGTAGCCAAACCATACAAAAATTTTGATTCTTTAAATACTCACTGGGTTTTCAGTACGTTTATGCCAAATAGAAGACTGAAACAGAAGTAGGATAAAGAAATCGAACTTTTTATCTGGTCTGTGTTCTATTGGCTTAAGATTCTTAGTAAAATATTAACAGCTAAAAAGGATATACAAAAATACCGAAATAATTTGGATGGATACAAATTTGCCAAAAGGGCTATTACATACCAATGAATTACAGAAATATGAGAAAGTTAGATGTAGTTAATTAATAAAACAGTTATAATTTAATGCATCAAATAGACTTTATTTTTGATTTTCTCATTACTTGTTTTATTATTGACAATATATTTGTATTTAAGAAGTTACTAGAATTGTAAGAATTTTGGTAAGAAACGGAAAGTTTCATCAGAACCGGAATCTTCTTCACTTGATTTATTTGGTTTAGCTTCATCGGAGTTTCCAGAGCTTCCACTTTCTTCGCTTTTGCTTTCTTCGCTTGGAACTTCAGGTTCGGGTTCTGGTTCAGGTTCTGGTTCAGGTTCTGGTTTCTCTTCAGATTCTTGGGAAATGCTTTCTTCGCTTTTGCTTTCTTCGCTTGGAACTTCAGGTTCGGGTTCGGGTTCAGGTTCGGGTTCTGGTTCAGGTTCTGGTTTCTCTTCAGATTCTTGGGAAATGCTTTCAGAGCTTTTGCTTTCTTCGCTTGGCACTTCAGGTTCGGGTTCGGGTTCTGGTTCTGGCTCTGGTTCAGGTGCTGGTTGTTCTTCAGATAATTCTTGGGAATTGCTTTCGGAGCTCTTGCTTTCTTCGCTTGGAACTTCAGGTTCGGGTTCCGGTTCCGGTTCCGGTTCTGGTTCTGGTTCTGGTTCTGGTTCAGGTTCTGGTTCAGGTTCTGGTTCAGGAATTTCTACAGATTCTTCGCTTGAACTAGAGCTTGAACCTACTTCGCTACTGTCACCGCCTCCTCCGTTGTTACCTCCTTCACATCCAGCTTGATCTGGCCAATCGCAAACGTTCAATTCTTTGTTAAAATGCAATCCATCGGGACAATCGTATTTTACTGGGTTTCCCCAATCACATTTGTAAAAAACTGTGCAGTCACTGGAATCGACGAGAAAATCGACTGTTTCCGGGTTCATTGTGGATGGGCATTTTCCAACTGGTTCTGCATGAACCAAGTTGATCGCAGCCAAAATAACCGCGCACGATAAGAGCACAACTTGAATAAAAATAATAAAAACGTTAATTGATTTTAAAAGATTTACAAAATAAAACTCACTTACCTTTCATATTTAGCTTAGTTGTTATATCTGGCGTTAAACCAAAACACCTATAATGATTTTCTTATGAAACTGTGTATTTATACAGTCGAATTATCAAAGTTAATCTAAAAAATTAAAGTAGTATTAAGTTATTAATTAATCGATTATTTGCGTTAATTGTTTAATTTTTTTTAGAAAATATTCGTTAATTTTGTGTCAAGTGGCTATTTCTCCTATAAACAAACGATTATTAAGAAATGATAGTGACTTAGATCGCAATTACTGCTATTTACACACTTTACAAGTGGATATATTGAGGAACAATAAACATTGACGTTGTTGAAACGTCAGCCAGCCCTCAACAATTTAAAAATCTTAACATTACTCATCGTCAGTCTTTTTATCTGTGACTCCTTTATTTTTTTATAAATAAAGAGATATTACCACGGACATGCGAATACCGCTCGTGGTGGCACTAAGATTCAAGACCTGAATTCGTAATTGAGTTTTCATCATTAATCATAAATTTTATTTTTGACCAATGTATACTGTCTGGCTTTATCAACAACAAATATTAATATACTTGAGGAACATCAGAAATGAAATTTTCAATGATAAGATGCCACCTAGTGAAACGAAGCGAAATATCACAACCTAGCCGCATGGTGAGTGGCCACCTACTTTAGAATTCTTATTGCAAAAACTGCGAAAGTCAGCATAGACCCAAGATACCTCAACTGCACATTCCACATCAACCTGCAATCCAGATGCAATCCCAGAAATTTCACACCTACAGATTCTTTTTTATATCGAGTGGTTTCCAACAGTATATGTTATCATAATTAAGTTTCAATAAGTTTTCTTTACACCATTCTTGGCAGGATAATATAGCTAGTTCCGATTTAGTCTTAAAATTAGACTTTACACTATCTTTCAGTATTATGGAGGTATCATCTACATTGAGATATGTTTCTGCGTCAATATTGCATGGCATATCATTAGTATATATAATAAATAGAAGAAGTCCCAGAGCAGACCCTGGAAGGACACCTTGTATGATTTCTTTTGATTTTTACTGTGTCTGTCCATCAAATAAGATCTTATTAAATTTAGTTACATATATATTATATTATATATTTTATATATTTCACAAACATAAGAATTTTGGTCGATGCCACTATCATTTTTAATTACCATTCGTTTCCTGCTGAGGTACCCACTCAAATTTAAAAAGTTGGTTGCGTTGTTATAGCAATTCGAACAATAATCGTGATTAATAACTATTAATACATACTTAATAAATCAATACAACTTGAAATTAATAGCTCTGATTTTAACACTTTAGATAAGCTTAGATAAAGATAATATTTAACCATAATACTCATAATAGATGTTTGTTATTGTAATTATTTTTAAATGAGTTTTAAATTTTATCGAAGTTCCTTCTACGCAGAATTAGTTAGAAAATACTTGCAATGAATCTAGCAACAATCGCTTTTCTTGTTGCCTGAACTTTAACCAGAACCGGAATCAGAACGCGAATCTAAAATTCCAAACAATAAAAAAAAAAGCTATAGCTCTAAAAGTAATAGAAGGTGTAGTCTTATGTAAACAATATTTAGTTTTCTGGCAAGAGTATCTAGTCTATTACAAGCAGTATCCAGACTTCTGTAAGCAATACGTAGGATTCTATCAACAGTATCTAGTCTTCTGCAAGCAATATCTGATCCTTTATAAGTAATATCAAGTCTTCTGCAAGCAATATCTGGTCTTTTTTGTGAGAAATAGCTAATCTACTACAAACAGTAGATTGAGTTGTGAAATGCAACATAGATGATGATCAGTTTATGGTTATTACATTAATTGTAGAGCCTCGGCCGCAAGCGACCTCGGCTTAATTGATATACTATATACACTTGTCGATATTTAAGCATCTGAGAGCAAAAGTGAAAGAGAGCTCTTTTGTTTTCAATCGATGAAAATTTGCTGAATTCGTAGTTGTTAATGGTATCAGTCGAAATTCGGAGCATGAAACTAAATATTGTTTATGATACTTGGGGCGACCGAAATCTTCGAAGTAGGCCGAGATTATTTTTTATATCACGAACAATACTTGAGGCGACCAACGTCTAAGAAGCAAATAAAGGCAAAAAGCTAAGACACAGTGTATATAATAAAAAACACATGTTAGTTATGCAAAAATCTTTATTAAAACCTTAATACACTGAAAGTTTAATATTATAAAAATTATTTTTTGTCTTATTTTCTAGGTTTTATCTCAACATAATAATCGCCATCGATTCTTAAATCTAAACTATCAGTACTCAATTTAATCGGTTCGTCGTTCATTGTGACCAATCTGTACTTCACCAACAATTGAAATATGAACGTTTTAATTTCCATCATAGCAAGCCTCATTCCTATGCAACTCCTTGGTCCCACTCCAAACGGAATGAAAGTGTATGGATGTAAATGGTCCTTATTTTCGTCGCTGAAACGTTCTGGATCAAAAACGTACGGGTTCGAATAATATTTTGGGTCTCTCTGGATACCGGGTGCTGAGGCTTGAACTATATCACCCGGATTTAATACAATCCGTTTTTCTGATGGATTTATTGGCTCGATCACATAAGTTTTAGCACAAACTCGATCGCTTGCTAGTGCAGGTGGCCATAATCTTAAACTCTCTAAAAATTAAAATATGTTTAGATTATTTTAAGAATACAGTAAAACCTCGATTTAACTTGATTAATACGGAGCTATACAATAAGTATAATAAGCGCGTTATATGAACAATTTTTAATTTGCGCTTCAAACTATTTGAAGGAATAATTTTAATGCACACAAATTTGAACAGCTATCCACAAAGTTGTGTTCTTTATTAGATAGTTCTACTTAGAGATCAATAAACTATGCAACAACGTATTGTTGAAAACTAGAGTTAGTACTAGAACTAACACTAGATCTAAAAGTAGAAACATTCAGGTTTAGCCGAACGTCTCCTAAGACGGCTAAACCTGAATGTTTCTAGTTCTAGGTCTAGTGTTAGTTCAACTTTCATTTCAATAAAAATGTACAGGAATCTAGCACTGGATAACAACTAAAGCTAGAACTAACACCAGACCTAGAACTAGAAACATTCGAAACTTGAAACTTTCTAGTTCTAGGTCTAGTATTAGTTCCAGTGATAATGTTAATGTTGGTTCTAGTTTTACTTCAATGAAAAATATACAACAATTTAATGCTGAATAACAACGAAAACAAGAACAAACACTAGTATTAGAACTAACACTAGACCTAGAACTAGAAATATTCGGATTTTGCTGTTTTAAGAAACATACCGCTAAACCCGAATATTTCTAGGTCTAGTGTTAGCCCTACTCTTACTTCAATGAAAAATGTACAACAATCTACCACTGAATAACAACTAAAACTAGAACTAACACTAGACCTAGAACTAGAAACATTCGGGTTTAGCCGTCTTAAGAGACGTACGGTTAAACCAGAATGTTTCTAGTTCCAGGTCTAGTGTTACTTCTAGTTTTGCGAAAACGCCCTTCATTGGACTTCACCCTGTTGTGGATTACAAAAAAGCCACCTAAAACAAATAATCAACAGTTGGAAGGTCTCAAAGGTAACCTTACGCTGGACAGAACTTCCAGATCACAGACCAGCAAAGAGTATGATAACTCCGTCGCAAAACAAAACCAAAGAGGTTTTATGCCTCAGCAAAACTTGAAAGAATTGAAGGCGAATAAATCAAGTTTGACTAAATATGTTGAAACACAAATATTTGCAATGTTCTTATTGAGTAGCATTGCATATTGCTAAGATATGCAATATTATATGATATTTAGCTAGATAAAAACCATGTAAAAACTTCTAACTTGTATTTATTTATATAAAGTCGTACTAGTTTCGGGTTACTCCATCATCAGCGACAAAGTCAATGAAGCTATAATAGGTGTAGACTGGAAATCAAATGAAAGTAAAGCATTTTGCTATCTGATGGATAAACAAAATGAAGATAAAAGATGAAATAGGAATGGCGACGTTAAAAAGTGTGGAATGTTAAAACTTAGAAAAACGAGTAAATCTTTAAGAAGATGTGTTGGTGGGATGAGATTTTTAGTCTCGCCTCATCTCATGCAAGTTAGAAGTTTTTACATGGTTTTTATTTGATTATTAATCTTGCAACATGGATAACTCTTTCAATTTAGCTAGATATTGCTAAAATTAACAATATTCCTATGTCTGCTGACACAGGCTACACACTGCTATACAACAGTAAGCAGTTATTTAGCATTTCAAATGACCTGAAGTTACAACTAATTGAAAAATTGGAACATTCACCATATTATGCCTCACAGTTAGATGAATCCACATATTTTTCAAGTAATACTATATTGATAGTATAAGTAACATACATTAATTTTGAGTTGTCAAATTGGACAACTATCGCATAAAAATATAGTAAAAACCCACTGCATTCTTCATCGTTAACAGTTGGTATCCAAGAATATAAACGAAGAATTATACACAGTTTTAGATCACTGTGTGAAAATTGTGAATCATATTCGTAATAGCGCAGTTTGATCTCGAGTTTTACTACTAGATTCACATATGTTGGTTTTTGAGGGAGAAGATACTGAAAAGATTTTTTGACGTAAGAACCGAAATAGAAATACTGTTAAATGACCAACATTCATCTACTAGCAGAGCGCTTCAAAAACAATGCATGGCTTGCAAAGGTTGCTTACCTTGCTGATATTTTTGTTATTTAATGAATTAACATTATCGATGCAAGGGCGCATGACTAAACTAATTACCTGCAACAAGAAAGTTGAATTTTTTATCAAAGAATTTAATATTTGAAGAGGTTGACTAGATACTGGGAGAATTTGATGTTATCTTCAAATCGAAGACAATTGTTGACAACCATGAATACGGTTAGTACGACCACAACTCTACACGATTTCAAGAAGTAAAACCTTCAATTACAACAAGACTACAACACATTCTCTTTCTTAAAAGTTGCATAAGAGAAGATCTAAAACCAAATTTTACAAAACACAAATACCAATCAAATATAACAAAAAAAAACACAAAAGATAATCAAGAAAACAATAAAAAACGAAATAACAAAACACTACATAAAAGTCAACAAAAATAATATCAAAATTTATTACTTATATTAAGAAATGACATTAAAATACCATTATATGGAAATCAAAGAAATGATAAATAACAGGCTTTCACGGCCGGTGTGAATTAAACTAAACTTACTGGTTCGAAGTGAACCAGTTTCTGAAGAAGGTTGCAACATGGCATCCGAAACGTCAAACCTTTTATTAAAAGACGCACGGCAAAACCCGAAAGTTTCTAGTGTTAGTTCTAGTTTTAGTTCTAATTTTATTTTAACATTAAAATAATCCAAAGGACAAGAACAGCACGAGAATGAACAAATAAAATGAAGAAACTGAAGCCACTGCGAGCCGATCAAATGACTCACCATCAAGAAGTATTACATTTAATCAACAAGAAATAGAAATACTTAACAAAGGTCATAAATATGCCATACATACATCACCAAACTACAGAAAAACAGCAATAGAAATTGAAGCAATAATCAAAGACCATCAACAAACACTAATAAGAGAAGAAACAAAAACAATAAGAAGAAGAGAAAGCGAAGGAAGACGAAACAGACAAAATAAGAAGAAAGAAATATAAAAACTATAAAGGATATAAAACGAAAAATGAAAGAAGACATTATATGTACTAAAGGTCACAAAAATGCAGGTATATTATTTATGTATAAGAAAGATTATCTAGAAAAGACCCAAAAATTCCTTAATGAGAATGGATTCAAAATAAATAAAAAGAACCCCATAAATAAATTTCACAGTCAGTTTAACAAAATTATAACAGAAACTTTTTAGTTTCTTTCGTTATTTTTAACACTAGAAAAATTTAATATGAATCTCAAAAATGCCTCGTCTATATGCACTTCCAAAACTCCACAAAGTAAGCCATCGATTCCAGCACTTATAAAATATCAAAATTTCTAATGAACTTGTTTAAAAAACACAAATATCACAGAACAACATACAATACTTTCCTTTGACATTGTCAATCTATATACAAGTATACCGACAAAAGAGACATTAGATATAATAAAGAACATCTTGAATGAAAAATTAAATAACCAAACAAACAGTCTTTCAGAAATTTGCCTACAACAAAATTTCTGTACATTTAACATCTACTATTATAATGAAGGTCTTCCCATAGGAACACCACTCAGTGGCTTAATTGCAGCCTCTCTTAGATAAACTAGAGAGAGACAAAATAATTAACGACGAAAACCCATTTAATAAACATATTACCTCAGTATATTACACTTTGGAAAAGATATGTCGATGACATATTCATAATTATTAACACGAAAAACAAAAATATCATAGAGAATATTCACAACTACATCAACTACTCACTTCAAAATCCTCTTTTAGGGTAAGAAGAGGAAAAAGATAATAAAATAAACTTCCTAGACCTAACAATTAAGGGTAGGCACACACGGTCGATTTTTAGTCGACCGTGTGTGTTTAGTCGATGGACATAAATGTATTAAGTTTAATGTAGGTGCACACACAACACAACTGCAAATCAACTCGATTTTTTAATCAAAAGGAGTGGATGTGCACTTATGATTAAAAAGTTGTGCAACTATCGTACAACTGCGATAATGCCACAGCTTCATATTGGAGCGCACACACAGTCGATAGTTGAGTTGAGGTCTTTAGGAATTTAAGTTGCGCGCGCAAATTTAGTGAGAGTTGAAGTGTCTTCTCTAATATAACATAAATCAATTACTATTTTAGTTTCCCTCAATTATTTTATGATAAGTGAATTTATATAAAAAATTAAGTTAAGTTATTTTCCGTTTTACTACCGCAGTTAATTATATACTATACTAAACACAGTGTGTCAATTAATTATCGTACGCGACGTCATCATTGTAAGTATGCAACCAATATCACAGTGCAATACGCATCATACGCAAATCGCGTATTGCAATACCAATATTGTGATATTGGTTGCATACTTGCAATGATGAGGTAATTCAATTACATTATTTTAAAAATTTGAATTATTTCCCGGTATTATTCAATATTCAATTCAATATAAATACAAGTTGTTTCGAAATCGATATGTGTGTACATACAACACGATTTATGAACAACTAAACAGTTTCGTCGGTTATAAATTGATAATTCATCGCGATTTCAAACCAATCCAACCAAACTGTTTCGTCGATGAATAATCGACCGTGTGTGCCTACCCTAACACAACTGAAAATAACTTTCAATTTGACATTTATAGAAAACCTACACAGTTGGATACAATAATATTCCGAATAGAGCTAATTAACAAAATGATTAAAAAACAACAAAATAACAACAACCCCTAAAACCTTACTACATTAAACATAATGCAAGAGGAAAACCCTAAAATATGTAGAAGTATAAAATATCAAGGCAACTTTTTTAAGAAACTGAAAAAAAAATATTTAAAAAATACGACAAACAACAGCAAAATGCAATAATACAATAGGACAGCTCACTCATTAACAATAAGGATGACATAAATAAATTAAATAACAACGGAGTTTATAAACTTGAATGTGACACATGCAAACCCACATATACAGGTATCCCGTATTGGACGACTTTAAACAGTTCCCGTGCGGTTATTATAAACATTTCAAAAAATTTTTATTACAAAAATCGCCTCAGAATTATGTATCCTTCAACCGTATAATTCAACCGCACTAAAGATAAGAATAAAAGAAACAAAACACGACCTCAGTCTAATTTCGGAAAACATCTAAAAGATAATGCATCCCATACATTTGACGAAAATGACAACGCTACAATAATATACACCATAGAAACAAAAGGAATACACTCGAAGTGCTGGAAAATTATTAAATCAATAAATTTAGACACAACAACCCACAGCGAGAATGTTTAAATAGTCCTGGTGTGTGTTCCACAGACAGGACGTCGCGCCTTTATTTCTTTATGTAGGTAAGATAAAGGCGCGACGTACTGTCTGGAACGCAACATCTTTTCCGATTGGACGAAACCCTCCTCTCAATTTTACTACATTTTTTTTGCCTTAACTTTTGGCACGGATAGTAGTGCACGAATGAAATGAAGAAGATTACGATCGTGAAATTCTGTGAAATTATGCAGAATCCATGTGATCGCAAACCATGCTTTATTCCTAATATTTTATTCTCTGATGAAGCCACATTTTGCCTAAATGGGACAGTATTTATTAAATAGGCATAATTACCGATATTGGAGCAGAGAAAACCCTCGCTGGATGCACGATGACGCAAAAATAAGTGTATGGGCAGGCATAATTCGAAATAAAATCATTGGTCCCTCTCTCTTTAATGGCTCTTTAAATGGGGAAAGATGTTTAACCTTTCTGAGAAATCAACTAATACCTATCCTCATAGAAACTTTTCCTATTACTAACGACCCCACCCTTCTCACGTTCTGTACGCGAATTTTTAAATACCAGTTTTTCAGAGAGGTGGATTGGCAGACGAGGTCCAATAGAAGGGTCCCCAAGATATTCGCGCAATTCATTAGTCAAAAAAATTTAGTAAAATTTTGATACAAATACGAAATGAATACCATACTACCATTTGCAACAACATATTTAGCGGCAAGAAGTGTTTCAGCCATTATGCTTATCTCAAAAAATCTCTGAAATGTATTTTATTTGAGAAAATCTACGCCGAAACTTTGTTCCATTTTCTATAACAGTTATTATCCCCTCTTTTAATATCTTATGAGTAGGGCTCGGATTTTATGCAAAATGCATCTTCTTTATTTTCTGGAATATTTTTTTCAAAATTGGTTTCTGGGCGAATTACATAAAAATAAGGTAGATGGTACAATAAAAAAATTGCATATTTTACATATTTTTACAATTTTTTTGATTGTTGCATAAATTAGCCTTTTACTGCATATTTTCACATATTTTGTCATTTTACTAGATTTGTTTCTTGTTGCTTAATAAAATAAATATAATGACTGCTTGATTTTTAAATATGCGAACATACCTTTTAGTTTAAAGCACAATACAGGATATTTTAAGGAAATCCCCAACCATAGTTACTGTGGCTGTGTTCAGTGTGTGTGAACATTAATCTACCAATCTCTAACAACAATGCCTAAAATGTCTTGTATCCCAGTGGATAAAAAGTTATTCCGAACTAAATTTAAATAATCTTGTGCCAAAGTTGTAAGTATTTTTTTAAAAATTATGTTGTATCGTTTTAGCCAACGATTTAAGCTAAAAATTAGAGTTTTCAGAGGAGTTGCCAATGGTTTGTTCCGAAATTGTATTTCTCATAGACTTTTACACTAGGAGTTAAAAAAATGGAAAACTGTTAAATTAAAACTAAATAAAACTATATTAAATTTGATGTCCCATCTTCTTGGAATATGTTTTTACATATGTTTCTAGACAATCAACAATAAAAAATACGAATCTGTTTTATAGTCTCAGAATTAAATTTTCATCTGTTTGAGTATCTATGGCTAACTTTTTTAATTATTCTTTTTTAAGATAACATGTGAGAGGAAGAAAATAAATAGAACAATATGGAAAAAGTGCAAAACATATACAAACATGTGATAGAAATAGATTGATAACAACTATAAAAAAGGTATATGTTTGCATATTTCCACATATTTTTGCATATTTTGAATAAAACGCTTACATATTTATGCGCATATTTCCTATAATATGACTGCATACAAATCCGAGCTCTACTTATGAGTCACATTAAGATTTTATTGATATTGTTGGGTCGCTATTTAAAAAAGTTTGTGGAACGCTGGTTTAAATGGTAGGTAACCAAAATTACGCTATTGTTATTTTAGTTGCATGATAATTGATAATTTAAATTGATTAGTTTTTATTTCCGGATTCATTTATAATAATTGCTGGGAAAATATCATTAGGTCATGGAACACTGAAATGATTATAAAACACCTCTCATAAATTAAATATAACCTTGTAAATATCTAAACAAGCAATTAGATTTGTTTTTTTTTACCTGTAACGACTTGTTCGATGTATTTCATTTTCATTAGACCTTCGTAAGTAATTTTGCCCCCGTTTTCTTGTAAAGTCTCGTCGATTTCATCGTGTAATTTCGCTTGAACATCTGGATTTCGCGCTATTTCATACAGACAAAATGATAAAGCTGATGAGACGGTGTCAAATCCGGCGAATAAAAATACAAACGCCTGACAAACGATTTCTTCATTAGTTAAACTTAAGTCGTTTCCAGCGGCTTGCATTTTTTTCTTTTCTTCGATTAATAAAGAAATCATATCGGGTCGATATATTCCTTTTTCTTCACGAACTCGAATCGTTTCCAAAATGATTGATGTGAAGAATTCTCGAACTTCTGCAGTATTTAAAGAAACTCCAAGTGTTGTTGTTAACCCTGGTAAAATTGAATATAGAAAAAGTATAATTTTTTCTCGAAGTCCGACTGATGAAAATTTCTTGGACATTTCATAAAAATCGTTTGATTTGTTATTAATCGAATCAGTTTTAATACCGTAAGCGACAGTAGCTATTGTATCATTTGTAAATCTTGTGCAAGTATCTTTTATTCCAATTTTTGTAATATTATTTTTCAAAAAATAATCGGTGTAAATATCGACAGTTTCAACGATAGCTGAAAAAAGTATTCGCATTTTGTTGGCGGTGAACGATGGGCTTAATGTCGATCTCATGTGCCTCCATTCGGCTCCTTTTAATAAAAACAAATTTTTGCTCCATAAAGGGTCTGCGCCGTCGGGAACAAACGGAATGTGCGCAGGAAAATGATCAAAATCTTTTACAAAAATTGACTTTATTAATTCAGGGTCGCGAATTATTAAAACTGGTGTAAGATAATTATAAAATCCCATATAACTTGAAATAAAATTAATTTATCAGACGTTAAAATAATAAATTAAAACAATTACCGTTTAGTTGGAAAAGCTTCGTAAAATTTTTGCATTAGCGTATAAAATGATTCTTTTTTTAAATCACAACTCATCACATTTCCAAACAAAAAGTTTGGTTTAATGTAGTCTACGCCTTTTTCTTCAAAATGTTGATATATCCTCCTTATTTTATAAAAAGCAAGCGACAAAACGAACACTAAAATCGTAATTATCCAAAACATTTTAAACGTTTGTTTTTAATAATAACATAAACAGTTCGAAGGTTTGTTAGGAATTGAGTTATGTTTGTGGGATGCCTTCGATTAAGTAGGTATCCTTGACGTCGAGTGAAAAACAATTCAAGGTTTTTGTTTGATTGGTTAAAACGGCAAAAGCTATTTTTAAAACAACATGTAAGAAGTAGGAGAAAAAATAAATTATATCAAGTTTTGTTATTTAAGTTAATTTCTTGATATCAATATCATTTTCCATGAACTTTTGTTTTGTGTCAATTAGTACAATGTTTATATTTAGAAATTTAATATTTATATTTATTTATGTTTAGAAAACATCAAAACATATTTCTAAATTATATTTAATGCCGAAATAAAAAATTGAATTATTATAAATTATCTACCAAAGCAGAAATTTTTACAAGTAATTTGACTTTATTTCAGCAATAAATCATAACAATTGAAAAAAAATTACTCAATAATTTATGCTAATAAAATGTTACTGCGAGGCAAGCTGAATGAGATGATCAATATACCTATTGAGACCATTTCTATATTGAGTCTTCTACAGGTGTTCGGTATCTTCCGCATCAGAGCATTACACGGTTGTAGGATACATTATTCTGAAGCGATCTTTCTAATAAAATTTTTTCGAAATATTTGTAATAACCGCACGGGAACTGTTTAAAATTCTCCGCTTTTGTCCAATAGCGGACGACTTTGATTCACCGAAAAAGTTTATTTCTCTTCCCGTGTCGAATCTATTGGTAAAAGTACACGTAAGAAACGTGTTTTGATCGGCGCGGCGGTCCGGCCGAGGGTTGGGCCGATTACCTGAATCTGATTTACGATTTCCCATTGGACGTCGAAAAACAGTTCCTGTGCGGTTATTATAAACATTTCGAAAAAAAATTATTAGAAAGATCGTTTCAGCATAATGTATCCTACAACCATATAATGCTCTGATGCGGAAGATACCGGACACTCTGTATAGCTACCGATCATATCCTATACATAGCTCGATCGGGTTTAAATCCGGAGAGCGAAAGTTCTGACAGCTGTGGGCGATATGAGGTCAAGCATTATCCTGCTAAAATATGTTTAGCTTGAATTAAAATATAAGAAAAAGAAAATTCCTTTCTATTTAAATGATGAAAATATTTATTTTTATTTGTTTTCGGTGTTTAGAGTGCAATACGAGTTATCGTATTTCGAATATTGTTATTCGTCATCAGGCACGACTACAAAAAATTCAAAATTGATAAATAAAAGAGTGTATCAATTAAATATTACAACATATCAAAATAAAGTTATTTCACAGAATACATTAAAATTAACTAAACATTATAAGTACAAAGGCTTTCACGGCCGGTGTTAATTGAACTAAAACTAGAAACTTTCGGGTTCTGCCGTGCGTCTTTTAAGAAAAGGTTTGACGTTTCGGATGAAGTGACGAAATTGAAAATCGGGTACAATTTGGGTACGACGATGTCGTTTTTCTTGAGGTGCCCGGCAATTCGTTCCGTCACACTTAAAACATAAGGAAGACAGATAAATCATTCAGAATTATCTTTGCTATATTTCTCGTTTTTCAACTGAACTGAGACGAAATTCTCCTCTTATTAGAATCCTTTCACTGTACAACACACTGTTGGCTTCTTCCTTCATACCTCTATTTGGCATTGGTATTAGATCGTTTAAACAACATTTGACACCTTTGATAAGTGCTGCAGCCACCCAGTAGCCAAACTTGATTTTTATCATTGAATTCTGTAATTTGTGATGTAATTCTGTTCATTTTTTTTAAGTTTTGGTTTAACATATCCTTCGCGCGTTCTGTGATGCTTTAATTAACATTTATGCTTGATCTTGGTTGTTGGGTTTGTTTTTATTGGTTATATTATGTACTAGTAGACTTAAGTTCTGAAATTTGTAATTAGGGGCAACCCTGTAATTTCGAAAGTAAAATAAAATAAATCCAATGGTCTACAAAACCAGATCTCCTCCCGCCTCACACCGGACGCGACGCAATTAGTTAATAATTAGTTAAAAAACGCACGGTTTCTAGTGTTAGTTCTAATTTTAATTTAACTAAACATTATTAAAATTATTAAGATCATATTTACCGTCAACTTGTTTAAGTACTAAAATAGATGATATACAGGCTTAAAACATTGGTAATAACATTTGAAACCATATTCGATTTCTGACGTACTTTCCATGTGGGCTTATAAGTCAAGTAAACTTCGAGAAATTAAAATTAAAATTGAACTAGTTTAAGTCAAGTGGAAATTTAACTAATTTAAGGTGTACAAAAGACTTAGAACACGACTAAAAATTAATAAACTTTGTTATAAAGTAGAAAACCACTATCTATATGAAATTAAATGTAGAACTGAGATTTTCGAGGTATAAACAAACTTGGAAAAAAGGTGGAGTTTTAAATAAACTAGTATGAAAATTTACCAATAATAAGGGAATATAAAATTAAGTGTGCAAGTGCATACATTTTCATATAACCTCTCTTCTTCGTTTCGAAAAATAAAAAGACATAACAAAAAATTAAATCAAAATTCAGCTTTACATAACGGTTTTGTCAAGCTTAATTTAAAATGCAAAGATGTGCAAAAGTTTATGTATATTTATGCATTGATAAATCTATCGAAATATCTGAAGTTATTGAAATCGGTAATATCGTTTATCAGGTTGTCATTTTCGTTATTTTTAAATTTGTTCTTCTATTTAAGGATTCTTCGTATAAGTCGAGTTCTTTGGATTTGTTTAAATTTTTAATTAATTTAATATTACCTATGTCAGACGTGTGTTTGGTAGGTGTTTATAGAAGGTAGAGGATGTTCTATTAAGGAGGTCCATGTAGGCAGCCCCCACATACCCAAAAATAAAAAATCTTTATGTTAAAATATTGTACTAGTTTTGTACCCTAATGTACCACCAACGAAAAGTTTTGTACCCCTACGGTTTTTAAACTATAACGTTTTTTTTTTTGGGGAGCTGCCTACATGTCAGCCCCCGACATTTTTTGACAAAAACGAATTTTTTGTACACTAAAATATTGTACTAGATTTGTACCTTAATGTACCGGTGAATGTTTTGTACCCCAACGGTTTCCGAGAAACAACCCCTTTTATAAGGCGGGAGCTGGCGGAAAGTCACATTCTGGCGGTTTAACATACAAACTTGCCATTTTCTGTGCATTATAGTATTATACTAGTTTTGTACCTTAATGTACCGGTGAAAAAAAGTTTTGTACCCCAACGGTTTCCGAGAATCAACCCCTTTTATAAGGTGGGGGCTGGCTGAAAGTCACATTCTGGCAATCTAGCATATAAACTTGCCATTTTCTATGCGTTATAGTACTGTACTAGTACTGTACTTGTACTTTACTGTACCGGTGAAAAAAAGTTTTGTACCCCAACGGTTTCCGAGAAACAACCCCTTTTATAAGGCGGGGGCTGGCCGAAAGTCACATTCTGGCGATCTAGCATATAACCTTGCCATTTTCTGTGCGTTATAGTATTGTACTAATTTTGTACAAGGTCTGTCACGATAAACTGAGTCTATATATGGTCTAAAATAGTGCCAGTGGTATATGGCAAACCACTGGCACTATTTTTGTGAAAATTTGCATACAGGGTTCACCCGAAGTGCTCGTGTCAGCTAAAATATTTTCAGTTTTCTCCATCTTCCGGTTATACCGGAAATGGCTCCCAACTTCGTTATTTTAAATGGAATGTAACAATTTTCCGGAAATTTGCGCCGAATTTCCCTATCTCCAAAAGTCGAAAACTTCATTTTTTTAAATGGCAACCCCAATTTTTGTCATTACATCCCTATATCTAAAATGTATGGTTTTCGTAGAAACTTGAAAAAACTGAAATTTTCTTGGTTATTAGTAAATTTAAAAGTGCAAAGACTTTAGCAGATACCTTTAAATCGATATATCGCAACGGCGTTATAGTATATGACGTAGTATGTAGTATATCTGAATTATTAATAAAAACTGCGTAATTTTTCCCAAAATGCGTTTACTTTTATTACAGTTGTACATGCTTGAAAACCTTAATAAAGTATCAAAATCCTATATTATTTCTATCCGCTACTGATAACATTACAACACAAAGTACTTTAAATAATACAGATAAGGCCTTAAATAATTCAGATTGTTGTACATGTGGAAAGAGGAATAACAATAGTTATAATACAGTAATATCCCGAAGTTACGTAATAGGTTGGACCGAGTAGGATTACGTAAGTCGAGTATCTGGATAGGTTGAAGCAAAATTTATGTAGAACAAAAGGTAAACCGGAAACAAATTCTAAATAAAATTTATTTATGCATTCTAATAACAGTACGAAACAAACCAGAAAAAAACTAATATTTTATTTATGTTTTATAGACTAATTTATATAGATTTAGGCCCACTTTTACCACCTCTTGATAAATTTATCCGATAGATAATTACCATGGTTACAGCGGTTTTAAGCGCTCTCATTGGCTCCAATTTATCTATCGGTTAAATTTATCAAGAGGTGGTAAAAATGGGCCTTAGGGCCGGTTTATCAATATCTAGTTAAGTCGATTTATCTGTCGGTTAAAAATGTATCTAATAGATAACGTCGACGAATCGTTTATCCACCCGTAGTTTAGGTTATCTTTTAGATAAATATGACATTTGGATACCCACCAGATTGAAATACTGGTTAAGGGTTTACCTATTAGATAATGTCAAAAAGATATGCGCGCAAGTTTGGTTGCTTGGTGAAAGGAAATGACATCAAAATCAAAATATAACATAATTCAAAGCTGATTCAAAGGTCAAAGTCAAAAATAAATTAAGCTATTGTGGTGATGGATAAGCAGGAGAAAGTGAAAAGATCCTGTAATTTTACTAAAGCAGAAAAAAACTTGCTGATTGATTTGGCAAACAAATATAAAAATATAATAGAAAATAAGAGAACCGACGCTGTAACATGGAAACAAAAAGATGAATGTTGGGGTAAAATTACTGCAAAATTTAATTGTTGTAGTATTGGAACAGTAAGTAAAAACGTTGAAATAAAACAAATATAAAATAATCTGAATTCATGGCTTTAGCCAAGAACTACAAAACAACTGCGAATGAAATATGATGGGATAAAAACGAAATAAAAAAAAATTATTCTGCGCACAAAAATTACTTAAAAGGTACAGGTGGTGGAAAGCCAATGAAAGAACCAGCTCCATCCACCGAAAGTGAAAAAGAACTTACAGATACAATTTTGTTGTCTGTAACAGGATTAAAAAGTAGCTATGATAGTGATTCAGGTAATTAATGAAAAAGGCAAATGCCGTTTCTTTTAAATTAGGTGGTATTTTTTTAAAATTCATTTGTTAGTAATGAATGGTATGGACGTTAATAATATCGATACAAATGTAACAAAGGACGTCACAGAAGAAGAAGTTATGTGCCACTGGAATGAATTTGAAGTTACAATGCTATAAACCGAAAAACATCCGGCATTACAACTTCAAAGTAATTTCCAGGATAACACTTCGTCTTCTTTGGAAACACAAAATATTCCTCCAAACACTATATCAGAAGTAGAGATTACCCCAATCATAGAAGTAATTCCTTCGGAAGTTATTACGCAAAAACAATGTCAAAATGAAAATGAGTTGAGAAGTAAGTCTGATTATGCAGAGTTATGCACTACGGTGTTACTTGATGCTTATTATACTTACTTTTATAGAATGGTCGAGCCGTAGGAGACCTGTTATTAAAAAAAGTTGTAACAAATCTGTATCAACGAAATTTGAAAAGTTGGCAGAAAGAAAGGAAAGTTTATTAACAGCACTCACAGAACAGACCAGTAAGCAAAATATTTGGGCAGAAGAAGAGCATAAAATAAAGATGGAAATACTTAACATACAAAAAGAACAAGAAGCCGTAAAATTACGTACACTTCAAATGGAATTAGAAATAGCAAAATTGAAATTTCAACAATATCAATCTGGGAATTAGATCGCCATTGGATTTTTTTTATAATTTGTTATGTTGTATAACTTATAAATGATATTTGAGTATAGTATTTTTTATTTAAATTCAACTATTTATAGACAACGTATTTGTTAATAAACAACAATCCACATTTATACGAATTCTTTAAATTATACGAATATAATTACGAATACAAATAATATCTAAATAAAATTGATTATTATGTTATAAATATTAATTTAAGAGGTTAGGGAAATAATTCGCCAAAAGTTGATTTCTAGCATTTCCTAGTAATTCACCATCTTCTATATCAAGGTTATCTACCTCGACAGTATTTACATTTATTCCAGGATCATATGGAGGTATTTCTTCCTTTGCATTTATTGCTATGTTATGTAGCACTGCTGTAGCAACAATTACTGTCATTGCAGTTTCTAGTTTCAATCGGAGCTTGAGTGCAAGTACAGGAAATCTTCTCTTCCACACGCCATATTGCCGTTCCACTGAATTTCTAGTTCTTATTAAAGATTCATTATATAGTTCTTCTACTCTATTTCGGGTATTCAGCAAAGGTGTTACCAAATATTTGGTATTACGATATCCGCTATCACCCACTAGCAAAGCATTACCAAACTCATTATTTTCAAACCTTTGCTTTAATAATGAATTATCAAAAATGTGTTGATCATGGGCCGATCCTGGCCAACGAGCAACAACATCCAAAATTTTTAAATCCACCGAGGACACAGTTTGAACATTCAATGAAAAAAAACCCTTTCGATTCCGGAATGTCTCTGCACGTGGTCCACCTATAATTATTATCCACTAATTCATATGTTTCGATTAAAAGAGATTGCTTACCTGGCGAAATAATGCTAATATGAGTACAGTCGATACTGCCTATCACCTGTGGAAATCTAGCTTTTCCATAAAATTGTTCTTGTGATTTATCTATTTGGTCACCAGTAGGCATACGTATATATTCTGGTGCCAATTCTGCAAGCGCAGTAGATACTCTTTTTACAATATTACAGGCACTGGTCTTACTAACATTAAAATAATCGCCACATGAAATCAAGAACGTTCCTGCAGCATAGAATCTCAGTGCAAGGAGCAATTGGTCGATAGGAGAGATGCTGCGATTCCTAAAAATTCGATTATTTATAAATTATTTATTTATTATTACTATATTATTATTACGAAATACAAACCTGTCAGTTTGGAATTCTAATCTCGTCTCAATTTTAACCAAGATTGACAAAACTGTACTCTTTTTTAACCGAATTCTAACAAAAAAATCTTGGTCGTCTAAATCCTCAAAGTGGTTTTGTCTTTGTTTTATAATATATGGTCGACGTTTATAATGTAACAGTTGGACAATATCCTCATCTTCATCGCTTTCTAATAAATACTCATGTAAGAATTCCATTAAAGAGGTTTTCGAAAACAAAGCACACGGAAATGACAACTCACAAATCAACTTCACAAACTAAAGTCAATTATTCAAATTTGACCAATCATGTTTTATTTCCGTTTCTAATGTTAATACTCAGGGGTACCATCTGTTTTCTATCTTGTGGTTTGCTGCCTGTCGGGTAGAAAGTTGCTGGATAAACGGTTCACTGAGGTTATCTGTTAGACAAGTTTATCCATGAGTTGCGTATCTGACAGATTTAACTCGATATTGATAAACCGGCCCTTAGTCATTTAAATTGGACGGTTCTATAAAACTGGTGATGGTAGTTTGGCGACATAAATTCTTTTTCCGCTCACGTAGGATTTCTTGATAGCAGACAATTGATTGTTCTATTTTTCTCTTTATTATTATAATGCGTTCTTCATTATTATCTGTTTCTTCTAAAACCTTTATACCATTTTGTATGCTATTAAGCCCTGCTGTTAATTTTGCGATGGTTAGGGTATTTTCCGATTATGCTGGTTCAACATCACTTTCTTCACCGTCATTTTGTTATTACATTTCTATCAGATCTTGCACAATAAGCTCTTCATCATGCGACTCCCAGCACAATGACATCTTCATTATCACTACCAAATCGACTTGTTTTCCTAAAGTAACAATATTTAGTATTTACTTCGGTTATATCGTTTTCTGGCGCTGTTTCTGGTCAGTCCGCGAAAAAGTCCAGGCAAAGTTTTTTCGAAACCCCTTTCAGTGTATTTGAGGAAACTTCGTCCCACGATTCTTTATCAATCTAATAGCATCAAGAATATTAAACTTATCCCAAAATTCCTTAACGTATAAGTTGTCATCGTGATTCATAGATTCATTTAAACGTCTAAATGATCGGCGAGTATAATAAGCTTTAAATGTTTTTATAACGCCGTGATCCATAGCTTGGAGCTAGAAAATTTTATGATTCAATCCTCTATTGAGCGCAACGGGGGAATACCCCACAAAAACTATAACGGACAAATTCGTAGTTACGTATCTCCGAATTTACGTAAGTCGGGGTATTACTGTATTGACAAAGAATATATATTTCTGTATTGATTCTTGGGAATTGCTTCCTGAGCTCTTGCTTTCTTCACTTGGAACGTCAGGTTCGGGATCGGGTTCTGGTTCTCTCCAGATAGTTCTTTGGAATTGCTTTCAAAACTGCTACTTTCTTCACCTGAAATTGCAGGTTAAGGTTCTGGCTCTGGTCAGGTTCTGGTTCAGGAATTTCTGCAGATTCTTCATTTGACTAGAGCTTCAACCTTCTCCACTACTTTCGCCGCTGCCTACGTTGTTACCTCTTTCATATAAAGCTTGGTTTGGCCAATGAAAAACGTTCAATTACACTCATTGGAATCGACGAGAAAATCGACTGTTTCCGCGTTCATTTTGGATGGGCATTTACCAACTAGGTCTGCATGAACCAATCTGGTGTTCTGTAAGAAAGAAGTAAATTCCCTTAATTTTTTTGTTGATGTTATCTCCAACAAATATAATAATAATTATTATTACAGCGTGATTCAAAGAACATCTGAAACGGAGTTATCAAAGTAAGAAAATTAAGGTTCATAGAATTTGATTTTTATTTTTCCTCATTTTAATTGATGAATACTACCACTCATTTGCTGTAAAGGTATCCACTCGAGATTAAAAGTATGGTTGTATTGTAATAGCAATTCGAACAATAATCGTAATTAATAGCTGTTATTAATACATACTTAATAAATCAATACAACTTGAAATTAATAGCTTTGATTTTTACACTGTAGATAACGTTAGACAAAGACAATATTAAAACATAGTAGGTGTTACAATTAATTCTAAACGAGTTTTAAAATTTATCGAATTTCTTTCTACGCGGAATTACTTCGAAAATACCTATCCGCAATGAATCCAACAACAATCGCTCTTCTTGATGCCTGAACCCGAACCTGAAATTAGAAACTATGAAACGCAATAACTCTGAAAGTAACACTTTCTAAAGTTATTCTCAAAAATCACCTGAAGAAAATCCACAATCTAAATCTAAGCCAGTAATTTGTAGAAGTTAAATTTTGAACACGATTTTATTCATTTGATTAGCCATACCCACTTAACAATATAGATATTTTATTATAACATCCTCCTTCATATAACGTACGCACTTTTTGATCCCATGTGGATACGTTATAAGCGGAGTATACTCTATTTAGTTTTCTGGCAGTAGTATCAATTCTACTACAGGCAGTATTTAGGCTTCTGTAATCAATATCTAGTGTTTTACATCAAGTATCGTAGCTTTTGTAAACAATAACTATGTTTCTGGTAGCAATATCTAGTCCTCTGTAAGCAATATCTAGTCTTTTGCAAATAGTATTATTAATATCATAGATTAATAGATCTTAGATTAATACTATACAGATCACTAAACACTGCGTGCAGAAGACTATATACTGTTTGAAGAAGACTAGATATTTCTGTCAGAAACTTAAGCATTATTTACAGAAGCCTCGATACTTCTTGTAGAAGACTAGATATTGTTTTGTTGCTGCTGCTTATGTTTTTATCCCAAAGTATTGCATTTGATACCGTGATAGCACTCCTTCCAAGAAGATTTTATTCTTTTATTGCCGTGTCTAACGTTTCATCATTTGTGATTTCCACTTCTAAATATTTGTATTTCATGCACCATTTGATTTGATTCCCATCGTCCAATCTTACAATTCGTTGCTCTCCTCCAATACTAATATATTCTGTTTTGTTAGTGTTGGTCTCGAGTCCCTAATTCTGATATACGTCATATAATTTATGTAAACGTAATCTTAATAATCCTTTCGCTCATTACTTCCCATTTCGTAATGTACTTTCTATATTTCACAAGTATCAAAATAGAGACTCCTATTTTCTTTTGGAACGCCGCTATAAAAGGAGTCATATATTCCAAAATTCCTACAGATTACTGGTTTAGGTTTAGATTGTGGATTTTCTTCAGCTGTATCTTGAGAATAACTTTAGGAAGGGTTTGTTTCAGAGTGTTTTTTGAGTTTCAGTTTCTGGTTCAGGTTCAGGCATTAAAAAGAGCGATTTTTGTTGGATTCATTGCTGATAGTTTTTATTATAGTTTAATATTGTCTTTATCTAACCTTATCTAAAGTGTCCCATCCTTTTAAACTCTAGTGGATACCATTACAGGAATTGAGTGGTTATTAAAAAATGATTTTGGCCTCGACCAAAATTCATATTATGACAAATTGATAGAAGGAAAAATAAAAATCAAAATCTATCAACCTCAAATAAGAGTATTAATAGGAGTAATTCAGTATCATTTCTTAGTAAGCATTTTTTCAAAGAATACCCACTTGAAACAACATTAATGAACATTTCTAAAAAAATTATAACAATAAACGCAAATAATCAATTAATAATAAAGTAATGTTGCTTTAATTTTTTAGATTAAGTTTGATAATTGGACTATATAAGCAAATAATTTCACAAGGTGTCATTATAGGTGTTTTGGATTAACGCCAGTTATAACAACTACGCTAAATATGAAAGGTAAGCAAGTTCTATTTTGTAAATCTTTTAAAATCGATTAACATTTGTCTTATTTTTTTCAAGTTGTGCTTTTATCGTGCGCGGTTATTTTGGCTGCGATCAATTTGGTTCATTCAGAACCAGTTGGAAAATGCCCATCCACAATGAACCCGGAAACAGTCGATTTTCTCGTCGATTCCAGTGACTGCACAGTTTTTTACAAATGTGATTGGGGAAACCCAGTGAAATACGATTGTCCCGATGGATTGCATTTCAACAAAGAATTGAACGTTTGCGATTGGCCAAATCAAGCTGGATGTGAAGGAGGTAACAACGGAGGAGGTGGTGACAGTAGCGAAGTAGGTTCAAGCTCTAGTTCAAGCGAAGAATCTGTAGAAATTCCTGAACCAGAACCTGAACCAGAACCAGAACCGGAACCCGAACCTGAAGTTCCAAGCGAAGAAAGCAAGAGCTCCGAAAGCAATTCCCAAGAATCATCTGAAGAACAACCAGAACCTGAACCAGAGCCAGAACCAGAACCCGAACCTGAAGTACCAAGCGAAGAAAGCAAAAGCTCTGAAAGCATTTCCCAAGAATCTGAAGAAAAACCAGAACCTGAACCAGAACCAGAACCCGAACCTGAAGTTCCAAGCGAAGAAAGCAAAAGCTCTGAAAGCATTTCCCAAGAATCTGAAGAAAAACCAGAACCTGAACCAGAACCAGAACCCGAACCTGAAGTTCCAAGCTCTGAAAGCAAAAGCTCTGAAAGCAATTCCCAAGAATCATCTGAAAAACCAGAACCTGAACCAGAGCCAGAACCAGAACCTGAAGTTCCAAGCGAAGAAAGCAAAAGCTCTGAAAGCAATTCAAAAGAATCATCTGAAAAACCAGAACCTGAACCAGAGCCAGAACCAGAACCCGAACCTGAAAGACCCAGCGAAGAAAGCAACAGTTCCCAAAGTGGAAGTTCTGGAAGCTCCGATGAAGCTAAACCCAATAAATCAAGTGAAGAACATTCCGGCTCCGGCTCTGACGAAAGCTTCCGTTTCTTACCTAAATTCTTACAATTCTAAAAAATCTTTAAATAAGAATGTATTGTTAATAATGATGCAAATAATAGCAAAATGAAAAATAAAATTAATTTGATTAATTAAATCTTGGAAACTTTTGCTGATTTACTGTTTAAGTTACTACTATCTTTACAAACAATTTCTGGTGTTTATTACCTCTCTGAGAGGGTAACCTATCTGATAACTACCCGGCCAATAACCTTATAGGGAGGATAAACATATTCGCTGTTGTACAAACTGTTTTTGTCGGTAGGATTGCTATCGGCGAAATAGAAGTCGGTTGGTAGTACCCCATATCTAGTGATTTGTGACGTAGGTTGGTAACGCTAACGTCTTTCTTTGAGGTTTGAATTATGATTTGGACAATAATAACGATTGTTTAAAAACATTTTCACGAATCAATTCACGATTGAGACAACTTACACAACGTCCGTATAGGGTTAACGGTTAATGTTATAGGTTAATCTATGTAGTAGATTAGATTATTGGCGGAGTAAGGTGGGAAACGTGACGTCATTGGAGTAAAAAGATAATATAGTATAATATTATTGTTAGGTCGTGAAGGGCGTCAATAGTCGATGGTACAAATTATTTATGTAGTACAAAATTAGTTAAATTTTCTTAATAAACTATTATTCTATTTTTTTCAAAAATTTTCTGATATAAGGGTACTAAAATTTTACATCATCGTAACGAGAAAAAAAATCTCTATCAAATGAGCCTAACGAAGGGAACATTGCCATTTCAAAAACTTTAAGTGTTATTCGTTGCTCATTTGTTTTCTGAAATAAAAACAATTGAATGCTGTATTATTAAGGCAAATAAAATATTAAATAACTTTTGTATAAAATGTTTTTTTATAAAGTTGATACCTACCAAGATATACAGGGTGTTTAGGTGACTCAGGGAATAAATGTAACCACACGATTCGTGTAAAAAAAAATTAGTAAAAGTCCTCAAATTGCAAAGATACAGGCCATCAAAGTTAGGCAATTTTAACACATTTTTCTAAATATCTTAAACACTATTTATGGTAAAGCGTTGAAATCCTAGCGATCGGCACCTGGTATGTGTTGCTATTCCTGATACTAGGTCTGGGTATAATGAATCCAACTCGAACAAGAAGTGAAGGTGAGTCAACAGTACAATTGACAATGTTCGATAAAAATTTTCTACTACCATCTTCATGAAAAATTAAGTTCTTCCAATAACGCAACGTAGTCAACACCTCGCTCCGGATACTGACCAACTGTTTTAAAATGTAAGTATTTTAAGAACCTCTTCTGCACTCTCTCGAGTATGAGCTGGTGAGAACTATAATAAGGATACCAAACCAGAGAACCATATTCCAATTTTGTACGAACAAACGCATAGAAAAGTACTGTTAATGCAGCTACGTTGTTAAATTTTCTACATTGCCTGATGATGAAACTCAATGCACCAGAGGCTGACATTACTATAGCGTTAACATGGTCTTTGAATTGCAACTGGTCGTCGAATAAGACACCCAAATCTCGAATATCGCGTTCTCTGCGTATTGCTTCAACTCCTACACTATAATTAAACCATAATGGGTTATTACACCTTGTGTAAGATACGACAACGCATTTTGCTATGTTAAGGTCAATTCCATTCTGTATTGACCAGGAACTGATAACGTTCAGATTGCGTTGTAAGATAACACAGTCTTCAGGGGATGTTACACGAGCGAATATCTTTAGGTCATCGGCGTAAGCAAGCACATTACAATCAAGTCATCGTAATAGATCATTCGGATAAACATTGAATAGAAGGGGACCCAGGTTGGAACCCTGTGGAACGCAGTGAACGTATTAGATTTAAAACCGTTGTAGCTCACATAGCAAAGTCTATTGGAGAGGTAAGATGAAATTAAATCCACGAAATCATTGGTAAATCCAAGACTGCAGAGTTTAGAAAGAAGTATTCCATGATCTAATCTATCAAATACCTTTGTAAAATCTGTGTAAATTATATCAACTTGTTCCCGTTAAAGTTTTAGTTTTTAAGCATAAATTAAATATAAAGGTTAAAGGTCTGCTGAGGAAGGGTGCACAATCTTTAATAATAAAACTTGGGAGACCGTCGTCGCCAGCGGTAAAGTCGTTCTTTAATCCTTTCATACAGATTTCTACCTCCTCGATAGAAAATGGAGTAATGTAGAAGGGTCCAGGCCAGTTGACTTGCTGGTAACAGTTACCGATAGTTGTAAGTCCAGGATTGAAGGCTTCAGAAAAGAAGACAGAGAAGGCCTGCACTATTTCCAGGGGATCAGAGATTTCAGAGCCAACAAAGGTCATGCAGCCTGGAATACGCGAATTACCATGTTTCTGATTCACGTAACGCCAGAAATTTTTGGGGTCGGTCAATATACAATTTTCGGTATTCACGAGATAACCCTGATAATCAGAATCTATTGCATCCTTGGATAAACGACGCAACCTAACATATTCATCGTAATATGATAGTTGTTTAGATCTCTTCCACTTCTTAAAGTAGTGCTCCTTCATATTCAATATATGCTTAGTGCTTCCAGTAAACCATAGAGGAAATTTCGACGGCGATAAGCAGAATTTGGGTACATGTTTTTCAATAACGTTATAGATATTATAGTAAAATTTTTCCACAGCAATATTAATATCCGAGCACATCAATATATCAGACCAGACAACACGACCAATATCGTCATACAATCCACGAAAGTCCGCTTTACGGAAGTTAAAACGAAGGTTGTTATTTGATGGAAACACTATCAAATACGCAGGATGATTAAAGTTTTCAGTAATAAATACTATACAGTAATAAATACTAAGTCGAGTATCCTACCTCTAGAGTTGTAGATATGGTTATGTTGAACTAGGTTTAAAGTATCAACAAAGTTCTTCAAAAGAAAAGATTTGCGGTCGAGGCTATTCTCGGACATCACAAAACGGAAGCAATTAAAGTCGCCACAAATTATAATATTCTTTCCAATCAAGCTGATACTAAGCGAATCAAGAAACAGTTCCAAATCATCCAGCGGAACATCAGGAGGTATGTATAGTGTAATAATAAATATGCTGATCGAGAAATAGACACATTTACCAACAACCACATCAATTAGCGGGGCAAGATTTAAAATCTCGGACATATCACAGTTGAACAATTTGGTTTGCTGACTGCAGGCAATAAGAACGCCACTCTTCTATCCACAAGACGGTGATTACGATCATTTCTAATTACATTAAATGTAGTAGGCAGCAACTCAGAGTTGGTGATGTCCGGAGATAGCCATGTTTCGGTAAGCAAGATAATATCGAAATCTGTAGAATTTGTGGCTGTGTATAATTGGTGAGTTTTTGTTCGTAGTCCTTGCATATTCTGATAAAATAAACGAAGTGTGTGGGTCTTCCTGTTAGATTCTATTGGTTTCCCTGCTGGATACTTCGGTCACTGTCAGATGATACAATTCTAGGTGACCCATTCACATATTTAATTCTTATGTTCACCTCGCCGGCGGCAATTTGGGTATCAAGCTGTGTTTTGAGAGATTTGTAGAAAGAATTTTGCAACGGTGTTTTGTCTGTTGTTAGAACAACAGCTTTGAACTTATCAGATTTTAATAATGACTTAATGTTCCTAAGAACATTGTGAACTACATCAGAGGAGGAAAAAGAGATTTTCAATGAGCGCTTACGATTCAATATCGACGAATCAAATTTACCCAATCGCTTTACAGTAAAATTAGGTGTCTGGATTTTCAAATAGTTAAGTATCTCTCCTATAGATCTAACATCATCATTTTGCTGGTCAACTTTACTATCACCCGGAAGCTCTGGCAAGTTGAATGCTACTAGTATCTTTGAAATTTGAAGACTTTTATTAATTTTTTTTTATATGAATCGTCGTCATTTTCACTCTAGTATATGTGGTTAAATTTGTTCCCCGAGTCACCGAAACATCTTGTATACTATATTCCATACATAATGGGCACCTGTATGTACTATTACAGCCCCACACAGATAACAGATAGGACGTGTAAATAAAATATAACCTTCAAAATTGATATTTAATCTTAAATTAAAATATTTACATACAATATTACATTTTGGATTTTTTTTTTTCAATTTTTATTAGTTGATATATTAAAACATATAACATAAATTTCAATTTAAAATATTAAATAAATTTCGAACATTCAAAAAAAGTTATCTGTAATTATGGTTTATATTATAACCAAAAGATGTCTTAATTTTTTGTCCTATAATAACCTAACCTTAAACTTTGTATTATAACCTCACATTTCATTATTATTATTTATTAGAAATTAAATCACACTTAAAATGCTTTGCAATAGATTTTTAAAGAGTTTTAGGAGCTTATATTTGAACGATCATAATCGATTTAATGCAATTCGAACTATATCCTTATCAAATGCACACAAACGAGAAGTGGAGGATCGTAAAGAAATGTATAAATCGCTTCCTGTTCAGGACGAAGGAACCACCGGAGAAAAAGCTATTGATATTGATGCGTTAATTCAGCAGTGAGCTAAATTAATTTTTTAAATGAAAGTATTTGTAATGAATTTTTTGTTGTAGCAAAGAAGATGTTTTCCCAACGATCGATACACCAAATAAATTGTTTAAAGGAGTACCTTATCAGCATTTACCGATATTTCATATTAGGGTCTCTAGTAATAATACCATTTTGAGTTTAACCGATTATAAAGGCGCCCCACAACTTATACGATCATGTGGAATGGAAGGTTTTAAAAATACTAGGAAAGGTACTAATATTGCAGCACAAGCAACTGCAATTAGTATTGGAGCTGTAAGTGTTTTATAAATGGGGTTATTGAGATTTGCTTATTTTAATGTTTTAGAAAGCTATTGAGCGTGGGGTTAGAACTGTAAGGGTTAGAGTCAAAGGATTGGGACCAGGGCGAATGGTAAAAAAAAATTTTATAATAAAAAAACCAATGGTTAAGTTTTGATTTCTTTTAGTCTGCCATAAAAGGATTGCAAATGTCTGGTTTAGAAATTATTTCAATTACAGATAATACACCAGTATCGTGGAATCCACCAAGACCTAGAAAAGCTAGGAAGTTGTAGTTAATTTGTTGCTAAAAAAAATTTAACAATATAATGATGTGGTTATAAATATTTGCATTTTTAATTGCAAGAAAATCATACAGAAATAAAATAATAAAAGAATCACTCTCATAATATCATCGAGATATACTATGTTTACTGGAGTGCGCTTCAACATAACATACATAATATTTATTTTTTTTTTCCTAACTATAATAACTTAAATATGTATTACTTGGTATTTTTCATCATTATTGAATAACATTATTTGAATTACTTAGTAAATATTGAATAAATTCATGCTGAATTATATCCATTCGTTAGTGCTATTTGTATTTCTTGCCGTTATAAGGTGGGGGAACATTCTGGCGAATCGGACCGTTTTCTCGACCAAGCGAATATCGTGAGCACGTACTCCAGTAAATTATATGTATCTCTATGCATAATATATACAATCTTACATTTATTTAGGCATTTACCTACAATGTTGCCATGTTATTATAATCGTTACAATCAGCCTTTTGATGTATTACAATCATTCACTTTTACTAAATGCATACTAGGTAATAACAAAGACAACAAGATATAATATTACAGTAGTAGTCCTTCTATTTATGTCCCTCAAAAATCCTCCACAAATTGTATCATTGAATTATATGGAATCGATTCTAAGGATTAAGAAGATGTTAGGTTTTAAAATACATTTATTCGAAATATGTTGTTATATACAGTATGCCCCGGATCGAATTACAAAGAGGAAAGAATTTATATTAATGATTTTTCAAACTTATCTCAGCATAAATAACACTAGTCTACAAAAAAAAATCATAAAATGTACATTTGACGCCACTGTATTTTTCTTATGTAGTTTGGTCCCCTAATTCTGAAGAAAATTTTCAACAATTGTCTCGTAATTCGGGCTTTTATTGTTTCCAAGAAAATCAGAAACAATTAACTGAACGAATTCCAGGCTACAGCTTCAACGGATGATAAATAGGTTTGAAAATTGGAGTGAAGTTAGCGACGGATTTTGTCAATTCCATCACGGTCGCAAATCCGTCGCTAAGATTAAAACGCACAGTGAAGGGAATTGAACATAGAAAATATGATCATGTTGTGTTAAATAAATGTTACGAAGGTCACTACCTGCTGTTTATCCCAGAATTCCAGAATAAATTTTGAAACTGCTAATAAAATAGGGTAAAAACGTCTCGCTTTAAAAAGAAATAAAACCATCCCCTTACCTGGGAGCTGCAGGGTTGAAATTTGGTGTGAATATATAGCTTCGACATCCCTAAGTTGATTTTCGTTAAAATTAGAGTGCTACACATGAAGGGGGGTCAACCCCTAATAAAAATAGGTGAAATTCGCTATGTTAGGTGAAAAAAGAAAGAAAATCCACCCCTTAGCCGTGAGTTGCTGAGTTGAAATTTGGTGTGGATATGGCTTCGACATCCCTAAGTTGATTTTCGTTACAATTAGAATGCTACACATGAAAGGGTGTTAACCCCTAATAAAAATAGGTGAAATTCGCTATGTTAGGTGAAAAAAAAAAAAGAAAATCCACCCCTTAGCCGTGAGTTGATGAGTTGAAATTTGGTGTGAATATGGCTTCGACATCCCTAAGTTGATTTTCGTTAAAATTAGAGTGTTACACATGAAAGGGTGTTAACCCCTAATAAAAATAGTTGAAATTCGCTATGTTAGGTAAAAATAAAAATGATATCCACCCCTTAGTAGTGAGTTGCTGAGTTGAAATTTGGTGTGTATATGGCTTCGACATCCCTAAGTTGATTTTCGTTACAATTAGAATGCTACACATGAAGGGGTGTCAACCTAAATAAAAATAGGTGAAATTCACTATGTTATATGGAAAAAAAATATAATATATATTATGTATAAAACACTTGCATGAAAATTTTTTTATATAAAAGTAAGTATCTATGATAACAGTCAAAAACTTAATATAATACAAAGAAACAAATATGAAAATAATTTAAAAAAGTCAATTCGAACACAATAAATAATTGTGTTAGTGTTGTTATCACTGAAATATGAAAGGTAAAAAAAATAAAGACTAAGAAATTATACCTTTACCTAAAAGTTGGTAGATTATGCAGAATTTTGTTTGTGTTTGTTGATAAATTTTACACAAAGATTAGTTTGGTCGCTTTTGTAAAAATCTTCGACGCCCTAGGCACATTTGATGTGATACATGCTATTACAACTATAACAGGTGGAGCTACTGTATTCGTTGTTTTGCCCACAAAAAAGAAAACAATATTTGTTCATATCCACAGAATATTGTAAAATTGTTTCCTGAAGAGAACATCTATAATTGTTAAAATCTATTTTTTCAATACATGACTTTTCTTTGACGATTTGATGAAAGTAATAGATTATGAATGCCCCACAGTCATAACCATTGCTTTGGTGATAATGATCTGGTATTGTCATTCTCCATTCATCTTCATTAAATCTTGCAATTTTTAAAAGTTTTTTGAAATATTTGTTGGCTTCTCGTCTTTCAACTCAGCAACTCACGGCAAGGGGTGGATTTTATTGTTTTTTTCATCTAACATAGCGAATTTCACCTATTTTTATTAGGGGTTGACACCCCTTCATGTGTAGCACTCTAATTTTAACAAAAATCAACTTAGGGATCTCGAAGCTATATTCACACCACATTTCAACTCAGCAACTCACGGCTAAGGGGTGGATTTTTATTATTTTTTTCACCTAACATAGCTAATTTCACCTATTTTTATTAGGGGTTGATACCCCTTCATGTGTAGCATTCTAATTGTAACGAAAATCAACTTAGGGATATCGAAGCCATATCCACACCAAATTTCAACTCACGGCTAAGGGGTGGATTTTCTTTTTTTTTCACCTAACATAGCGAATTTCACCTATTTTTATTAGGGGTTGGCACCACTCCATTTATAGCACTCTAATTTTAACGAAAATCAACTTAGCGATGTTGAAGCTATATTCACACCAAATTTCAACCCTGCAACTCACGGCTAAGGGGATGGTTTTATTTCTTTTTAAAGCCGAGACGTTTTTACCCTATTTTATTAGCAGTTATCATTCATTTAACACAACATGATCATATTTTCTATGTTCAATCCGTTTCACTGTGCGTTTTAATCTTAGCGACGGATTTGCGACCGTGGTGGAATTGACAAAATCCGTCGCTGAAAAGTCGTCGGTCGTCGTTAACTTCACTCCAATGGTTTGAAATTTGTCATCTTTTAAAAGTTTTTCTATTTGTGGACCGTTGAAAACACCTTCCTTGGTTTTTGCGAATGAAAGATTTTCAATAAGGTTCTTAAATAAGCAAATGCTTGGCCTTCTATATCTAGCGCTTTCACAAAATTCTTGAAGAGTCCAAGTTTAATATGTAATGGTGGTAGAAAGATATTTTCTTTTTTAATAAGAGGCAAGTTATTTTATTATAAAATCATTACACCATTCCCCCCTTTAACTATTTTTTTGCACGATCGGACTATTTTGTTTATTTACGAGTAGTGTTTCTATGACGGTAAGTTGATTTTACTGGTTGCTACGGCTAAAACGTCGGTAAGTAATTTACTTACCGTTCTAGAACGGTAGGTATAATAAAAAAATTTCAAAAATATAATTTATAATTTACTTACCGTTCTAGAACGGTAAGTATAATAAAAAAATTTCAAAAATATAATTTATTTGAAATTAAATGTACAGGTATTAAGCTAGAAATAGAAATTGAAATATTGCTTTTTTCGGTATTTGTATCAACAGAAAATGCCCGTGATGTAGAAGCACAAGCTGACGATTGTAGTATATTATCAGAAACGCTGCAAGGCGATTCATTATCATCATGTAGAATCTTTTCTGCAAATTGATTTTTGTTTTGAAGAGAATCTTCAACATAACTTTCAGCCACAGTCGAAGATTTCCAACCTCCATGTCTTTTTAGTCCTAAAACGTCTACACCTTTATTGGCTAATAATATGGCTGAAGTACGTCGAAACGAGTGACCAGTGTAATTAACTGCATTTTCCAATTTTAAGTATTCAGCAATTTTCGATGATAAAGCTCCAATAGTACCTTTACCGACTACCTGATTTTTACATTTCCCATTCCGATAATTTAGGAATAAATGCAACGACTTTGCATTGTTTGGCCGCAGTTTAATATATTTCCGAACAATTTTCAAATAATTAATTTTTTCGTTTTTTTTATTTATGACAGTAAATGTGCGCTGAATATTGGTTTTTGTATTTGGAATGGTTATAATAATAAAAGATTCACGATCTTCTATATCTTTAATAGTCATTTTATATAACTCTTCTCTGCGACATGCTCCCGCTACTCCTAATATCATTGCTACCTAAAAAAATACATTGTCGGAAATATATCCTCGTATTTTTACAAGTAATCTAAATTTACCTTATGGATTAAAAACAATTGGTCTGGTGCTTCAATTAAAAATTTAAACATTTCATCCTTGGTAAAAACACTAGCTTTTTTAGGTTTGTACCCAACATTTTTTCTTTTTAGAAAGGCAATTAATGTTGAAAACTTGGATATATCAATGGATTCGTGTAAAAAAATTGTCGCTTTCAACATTGAGTATTCGGCCCATAAACTACCTGCAGCTTTTAATTTTCCGTTTCTTTCGACCAAATATGCCAACAAGATTTTTTCACTCGTATTTTTATTCTTTACTCCACACCATTTTTTGAAAATTTGGTACGTCATTTCATAACGTTCCCTAGATTTTTCGGGAATTATTGCCGAACGTCCAATATTCCAAGCTTTTTCTATATCATCACCATTTTCACTCTCAGAATCACTCATTTTGGTTATATAGTAATATATATTATAATTTATATAATTTATATTATATTAAGTTTTAATATTATTGTAAGCACTGTTTACAATACAATTTCACAAATCACACAATTTGTTTTTTTTTGTAAATAAAACCAGGGCAACAGAATTAATTCAAATTTTTTACCTACTTTATAAATCATTACAAATGTCAACATATTTTAGTAAATTAATTATTATTTATATAATAATCGTCGTCAACCGGTAAATTGTACTTACCGTTCTAGATACTTAATATACTATTTTGTAATTCACGA